AAAATACCAACGTATTATTAAAAATGGTAAATCTTGCGTCATTGTTATATAAATAACTGACCACATTGATGTAGAAAAAGTTAATTCAAATAAAACTAAACATTTATTTTTCATATTTAATTGAAAAAATTTTTTTCTATGTAAATTTCTCGTTGGTTTTATTTTCATTTGTAAATTTATACTAAATTGAAATGTTGACATAATAAATATAATGAAAATAGCTGTTTGTAAATTATTTCGATCTTGTAATTTATTTAAATTTTCACCTTGATGAAAATTTCCATAAAATTCTACAATATCAGGTGCAGCTGCTAAGTATTGACGTAACATTTGAGCAAAAAAAACTTCGTCAGAAGTTTCTGTTTGTGGCCATATCCAATTAACAATAACTAATACAAGTAGAAGTAATTGTTCAATAAGCATAAAACCAGCTAATTCATCACTTAATATACCAATTAATGTAAAACGATTAATTAATTCTCTCCAACGTGTACATGAATTTTTCATAAATGACCATAAAATACTTAAACTTGGATCAATTCGACAACGTTTAGATGATTGACATTGACGATATTGTATTTTAGTTAATAATGAACACATCAATTTAAAATTATCTTTATTAAAAATAATTAATTCATCTTTTAAGCATTTAAATGTGTATAATGGGACTTTTTTTTTATGATATCCAATTAATTTCGATTCAAAAGTAATATTAAAACAATAAGTTATATTACGCTTGAGTAATAATTCAATATTTGTTTGTTTAAATATTTCACTAACATGTAATTGATGTTGTTTTAGTATTTTTAATGTTGGTACACATGTTACAATAAACAAAATAATTGATGGTGAAAACCATTTAAATTCTTTCCATTCACCACGAAATTGATAATAAAGACTTATACTACCTTCAATAGTTATTGCTAATATACCACAACAATATGTTAATACATAATAATTTTGTGTTACACACATTATTGAACACATCATAAACATAGCAAAACCAATTAAAATTAAGCGAACTGATAGACGACGAAGTCTATTACTATCAAAGAATGAATTAAATTTAACAGTAGACATGAAAGAAGAGTCGATTGAACAATGCGCGTTTTTAGATTTTGCTTTTTAGTGTTCTTGAAAAATATTGATATTGATTTTTCTTGTATAATATAAAGAGTGTTCAAAATTCTGGTCGAAAAAGAAGTGTGAATATCCTTTTAACTGTTCAAGTGATATGCATGAGCTTTTTATAGTTTTATTTCCTATTCATTGAAGTTGCATTTCTGTCCGAATGGCGGTTCGAATGCACACCTAATAATTGAAAATTTATTATAGTCACCTCACAAGAGACTTTAATTTTTAAAGAAATCGATGAAAAATCTTAAAAAACCAGATCTATTTCTATCAAGAGTTATTAAAAAAATTCCTATTCACCTCTTTTTTTAAATGGATATTAGGTTCTTGAGAGATGTCTTAGAAAAATTATACTCTAGTTTTTGTTTCTATAAAACACGTGATGTCGAGTGGGCTCAGCTTAACCGTAATATGCATGGAAATGATTTGCATCTTCTATTGTGCTTGTTTGGAGAGATGTGCTCCAGAAATTGACAGACTTCGCGATTAAAATGCGGATGAACTTCATGTTTGTGTAATAATATGAGGTTTATCTAGTATAATCTTATTAATTTTGAATGAAAGAAAAGGGCTTGAAACATAGTACAATAATTTTCTCCATTGATAATGTTATTGAGAAAAAGCATTATCTAAACATTCGATTTTCTAACGTCACACAAGAAAAATTATCTTTTCAAGGTTGTATAATAATTTCAATCGGTAAGCTGAAAATGAAACGCACAATAAGATCAAAATGATTTTGAAATCAGCACAGGTACAAGAAAAAGCAAATTTTTTCTAATATAATAGAATATGTTTATGGTCAAAAATACAATAAAAACACTCGTTCACATACCAGTTCCATCTTAGAAAAAAAAAAGTATTATTTGAATCATATTAAAATAAAAAACAAAACAAAATATTTCTATAAGTAAAGCACATTTGAAAAGTTTTTTCTAAACTTGATGGATAACTCATGTTTGGCAAAGTTCAAATATTTACAACAAATATCTACATACATACTCTATCAATGACACCAGCGTTAATTAGTGAAATTCATTTTAGGATATTAGTGACAAACTCTGAAATACTGCACAGAATTATATTTCACTCGAACCAAAGCATTTTTTGTTACATCCACTTACTTGTATCAGAAATCTTCACTGTTCAAGGTTCTTCTTTATTACAGATGAATTCTATCAATATTTTTTGGTCAAAATTATGATTGCTATGCCGATTTATACTAATGACACATCTTAATCAAGAGTAAAGTTATTTCAGTTATACGTCACGATGAATTATTATAACTTAATGACACTTATTATTGTGCGCAGAATCAGGAGACACATATTCACGTAATTTCATTGCCCTTTTTATACATAAAGTTTTTTGGTTTATCCACTATAAAAAAAACAAACTTAAGCATACTGCCTTATTTCTTTTAGCAGACACTTGTTTATCACCGCGAATAAATCTCAGTTAGCTTTTACACAGGAAAATTGAATGGTTTATAATGTCTTCGGTTTAACAATCATAATAAGAATTGCTCTGAAGTTGAAGTAAAACTGATATACGATTACATCGAGTTAATAGCTGTTATAAAAATGACTGTGTCGCAAAATCTAAAATGATAAAAGATCGAGGAAGACTCTGAATGGAATCCTTGATGCGGACTGACTTTTATGGATTTGGAATTCTTGAGAATCTATTTGATCTTGAATGAAAAATGATTCTGAAACACAGTGAGTGATTTTTATAGAGCATATGCACATGACCTATTATCTACTGCAATTGCGTTTTGCCCAGGGAATTATTAGTGTCTACTATTTAAAAATAATAATTGATAAAAAAAACCGCTAATTCCTGAAAAATAATTAATTGAAAAATTCACAAACCATACATTATTAGATGCAATTTCTCGTGTTGATTCTAAATCTTTTGTTATTTCTGTCTAAAAGAACTGCTGTGCTAAGAACATCACGAGAAAACTTGAAAAACATAGGGTTTTTAAAAAGCCGCTAACTCAGTCTAGAAGCACATGTGCATTTTTTTGCATACATTGTAGATATGTCACATATAGAACAACTCTCTCTGAAAGTTTTATCCAATTTGGAGCTATAGAAAAATGTGAAATGTTACGTTTTTGAACGTAACTTTTTGTATAATCGTTCAGCGTAGAATAAAAAAAAAAATTTTTTTTGAATTGTAGTGAGATAAAACAAATATCTTTTACGAAATCGATAGAACAGAAGCTCTACTGCCAGAATATATATCGGTTGCTTGTTCACGTTTCCTGTTGGTAGGAGAAGAAAATGAATTTTTTCTGACATCGCTGAAAAATAGACTAATGTTGGAATTATGACTTTTCCAGTAAACTGAAGAGACGGAATATTTTATTTTGATCAATTAAATTGATCATAAAGTAATGTATATAGACTATCGCTCAAATCTAGAAAAATCGCTCCACTTAGTACCAAAAGATTTTGTATTGTTTTTAAGGAAAGACTATCGTGCTTTTCTTACTGAACTATTTCTGTACTCTGATAAGAGAAAAAGTTTCCTTGTGTTTTCTACAAAATTTTTTGCCTGAGCGACGATTTCGAATATTTTTTCCGAGTCTTTTTCAATCCGGCTAGCAAGCGAAAGCTTTTATACAAACCATTTGTATGAGCAACATGTGAAAATGTTTCATGTAAATCAATTCTAATAGATGACACACCAAAAATGATAACTGACTCGTTAAAATCACTCAATATTCCATGATTAGAATCATGTTTTCACTCATCCATCGTTATCACTGACCACTGGAATGATTGAGAGGCAATGCGATTGGAAATCATCATAGTGTAAAGCAATTAGACATTATAGAACTGTTGCTATTAACTCTATTTTTCATCCTAGTTTGCTTGTTTCTGTAATACACAGTTAGGCTCTCCTCTTACAGGTTGATCTTATGTGTAGTGAGTATCAAGTTAAACATATACGTATCGGTACACAGTCATAATGGTCCTAGTCTAACGATACAGATCTAGGAATCTACGCTTAAGCGTACACTGATAAGGATATAGGCTGAAAAGTGTCAGCCAATTGGTGTACCGATTAGGAAAAGGATAAAAAGAGGCAGGTAAAAAGGTATAGGTGTACTTATATAGACATGACTATATACTTATAAGGATGTACGTTCGATGGGATATGTCTAAGAATATAGCTAATCAGGCATACCTCGAATAGTATAAGTATAAAGATATAGGTATCAGAATACACTTCTAAGGATACGGATCTAAGGAAAATGCTCTAAGGGCAATAAGCAAAAGAATATAGCCATAAAGACATAGTTCTATAGGGCTAAATATAGAAATAAGGGATTAGAGATAGAAATAAGAGTGAAGTATACTTATCAGAGTTGACATTTAGAAAGAAAAGTATAGGAGTAAGTAGATCAGGTTAATTTCATGGATGAAGGAATCAATGCGAAACGTTTTTCTTTACGAAATGAAGAAAATGTTCCTAGTTTATATCCGCGCGAACAACCTTTCTAGGTTTCATGAAAAACTATTTTTTAGAGTGTAGTTTGATGTCAACCGTATTTTTGTCAATCTATTTGCTTTAAAGGACAATCTACTCGTTCTGCATCAAATATTTATGTTGTATTTCAATCATAAAAAAAAGAGTAAAAGAGAAAAGAAGAAAATTTTTATGTGGCAGAAACAAAAAACTGAGCACCTGGCTACGTATGCACACAAACAAAATACAAAGAGAAAGAATAAAATTTTTCTTGACAACTTTGTTTTTTTTTTTCAATGTCCCGAATATTGCAATTATGTAGCCGTAAACGACACCTTGGTCTAATCGGTCTTTTTATCAGTATCATCTCAATCATAACATGTATGCGTTTATTTTCTCAACGAGATCCATCATCATCATCATCTATTGATTATCATTCACATAATAAACATACAATAATTCCTATTATACATCTGACTATTTTCAAAAATATTACGAAAACGACTATGGCTACTACAATTGAGTTTCCTAAAGTGCGTCGTCCTATGAATAAACGTCAATTTACAAGTCCAGCTGTTGAATCATTAATTGAAGAGATACAAAAAAATATCAAAAATAAAGAACTTGCATGGTTATTTGAAAATTGTTTTCCTAATACGCTTGATACAACTGTCGATTTCGATGAAAAAGCAGCATCTGAAAAACGACCTGATACTTATGTTATTACAGGTGATATTGATGCTATGTGGTTGCGTGATTCAAGTGCTCAAATAAATCCTTACTTACCTTTGATGCATCAAGATAAAAAACTTCGTCAATTGATTGAAGGTGTTCTCTTACGACAATGTATATTTATTCAACGTGATCCATATGCGAATGCACATTATAAACATACAAATCGTATTAGTGAATGGAAACATACGGATAAAACAGAAATGCGTGCAGGTGTACATGAACGAAAATGGGAATTAGATTCTCTTTGCTACGTTTTACGATTAATGCATTCATATTGGAAAGAAGCTAATCATGATTTAACTTTTTTTCTTGAAAATGAACAAGATTTTAAGAAAACCATTCGAATTATATTACAAACAATGAAAGAACAACAAAGATTTAATGGATCAGGTAAAGAAAAACGAAATATCAGATCTTTTTTCTTTTTCTATTCAAATCTTTTATAAATTAAAATAGCATTTTTGCCAAAAAAAAAGCTTCATATTTATTTTAAACAAGTATAATGAACGCCAATCCTTTTTTTTTCTTAACATTATGAGACAATGTCAAAAAAATTGATGTTGTAAATATTATTTTATTCTTAATTTTAACATTGATGTATATTAATGAAGGTTTCCAGTTGTTTCAATAAATAACTCTTTCATTAGAATATATCTAGAGAGAGATTTTCTATCATGTCTCTTTTTATCCTTTAAAATTTTAGTAAGAATGAGTTGATTTCGATCATTTATTTATTCATAATATTTTTTCATAAGCTAATTTCATGATAGATGAGTATAATACGTTTTTTTCATAATAGTTGCTATATTTATTGAAACTATTATTAATTTAAAGAATTTAAATGAAAAATGATTGTTCTGATAGACTAATGACATATTCTAATAGTCAATATTTGAATTCAGATTCATATAAAATAATGAGTTTTTATTAAAAAGAAATAAACAGATGTTTACCAAATGAAAGGCATTGACAAACACATCAAAAATTATATAGCAAAAACTTCAATTCATTTCTTTCAATATAATTAATTGGAACTATTATTCTTCCTTTTCTTTTCTTGCACATGTTTTTTCCTCCTGTTACTTAACAACTAATATACATTACGAATGGAAGAGTATTTGAATTGGTATTAAATGTCAACATATAGTTTTTCGTTCAAGCGATTGTTATTATTACTCTATATAAGAATAAATATTTGTTGTAAAATAATTCAATACAACGTTTTTACATTGATACTCTATTAATCAGAACAGTTTTGTCAGTCAATGGATGAAAAATTTCTTGCACATAAGCTGCCACTAATGCAAAATTTGAGTGAATTTTTTTCTCGTTCATTTATGTATGTCTTGGTAGAGCATGAAGAGCTAACTGGTCACGAACATTTTGATTCGAATACTGTTTCACTGAAAAAGCTGTAAAAGATTTAAGTGACTGAAAATGTGAAATTGGTGATTTTGAACTCACTTTTTTTCTACAGAAACTGTCAAATGTCAATTACGTTATCTTGTCAAACTGTATGAACACATCTTATTCTAATTCAGTAAAAAAATATGACTCATAGCACCTATTTTTGAGTACTTTTGTAAACCTGTGTAGTTATTTGTAACAAGAGATACAAGTAAGTGTCTTGTTTTATTAGAGTAGTCATTTCGCAACCGAAAAAAAATACCTATTGAGTTTTTAAACTTTGTTGTATTATTGAGAAAAAGGAATCTTTTTTTCCATTGAATAGTAACATTAGGCAAAAGAGTAAAAAATGAGTTTGTACTTACGAGGGAAGGTCCCCAACTTACGGATGCCGTTCGGCCCCATATTATGGCTACGAGGTAGATCTCTATGAGACTAAGTAAAGCCTAAAAGAATTCGTGCCCATGGCTGATTGGTGAAGAGTTACGGCCATTTTACTGAATTTTGAACCTGTGGCAAATGGGTTTCCGAAACAACTGAATTAAAGAATTTAGATCTGAAATTTGGCTCATAGATAGATCTAATGGTTCTTAGAATCTCCTGAAGGTTTTCGCCAAAAAAAAATGTTCCTTTCTCGAGATATTGAATTTTCAAAAAAATTCGGTTGTTGCCGCCTGTCTCTGACAAGTGACTATTTATTTGAAAATACAATATCTCGAGAAAGAAACATTCGTTCTGGCTGAAACTTTCAGACGATTCTAAGGACCATTAGATCTATCTATGGACAAAATTTCAAGTCGAAATTCTTTAATGCAATTGTTTCGGAAATCCCCTTGTCACAGGCCCAAAATTCAGTAAAATGGCCATAACTCTTCACCAATCAGCCATGGGCACGAATTATTTTAGGCTTTACTTAGTCTCATAGAGACCTACCTCGTAGCCATGATATGGGGTCGAATGGCGTCCGTAACTTGGGAACCTTCCCTCGTTAGTGGTTTTTATTGTCATAGTATATTTAAAAAGCAAAATAGATATCATATTCGGAACTAACGTCAATAACTGCATCGAATCATATATTTTTCTCAAAATTTCTTTTTTGTGAAATACCGACCCCTTGGGGACTAGGAACGAAGTATCAGAAAAACAGATCTGAGGGGGACCATACGTGTATTTTCCATAGAAAATTTTTTTTAATGAAACATACATGATTCGATGCAGTTTTTAATTCTAATTATGACTATTCTACCTATTTCAATTGTTAAATACACCATGACAATAAAAATCACTAAATACAAGTGCATGTGAATCAGAATAAAATGTGTTCATAAAATTTGAAAAGATAACCTAACTAAAATATGACAAGTCCTATGACAGAAAAGTGAATTCATAATTGTCAATACTATATTTTCAGTTATTCGAGTTTGTCATTTTTTTTTCAATGAAACAGTAGTTGAATCTAAATATAAATTCTATATATTGGCGACTAGCTCGTCAAACTTCATCAAACCATATATATTAATGAAAGAGAAAAAATTCATTCGATTTTTGCATTAGCGACACTTTATTATATTAGATTTCATTATAAAAAAATTCTTTATACAAATTAAGGTTCATATACATATCAACGCCAAGGTCATCCTTCAGATCCAAGTGGACAAGAAGCTAAACCTATCGGTTTAATTCATACATTTTTTCGACCAAGTGATGATCTGCAAACATTCCCTTATCTTATACCATCACAATTTTTTGCTCATCATACATTAAAACTTTTATTAGAACTTGTAAAAAAATTAGAATGGACAAATGATTTTAATGATGATATATTAAAATTAATTTCTAATTTACATGATATTTTATTTGACGATAAAATAGCAAATAATCAAGAAACACTAATTACATATAAACATCCGAAATATGATTTAATTTATTCATATGAAATCGATGGATTCGGTAATAGAAATTTAATGGATGATTCAAATGTTCCATCACTTCTTTCATTACCTTATTTATGTCCTGATGATATTTCAATTAAACATTCAGTTTATCAAAATACACGAAAATTTGTACTTAGTTCTGATAATCCATGGTTTTTTAAAGGAAATCTACTTGAAGGTAAATATTCTCATTTAATTATAATGAGTTATTCTCTTTTTTTCAAAAGGTATCGGTGGACCACATTGTGGCAAATCAATGGTATGGCCACTTGCAATTATTATGCGTGGTTTAACAACAACTGATGATGATGAAATTCGATTTTGTTTAGAAATGTTACAAAAATCTCATGGAAATACTGGATTTATGCATGAATCAATAAATGTCAATAATCAAATGTTTTTTACACGTTCCTGGTTTGCGTGGGCAAATAGTTTATTCGGCGAATTTGTTTGGAAATTATATCGAGAAAAACCTTATCTACTAAATTGAATGTAGTAGTTTTCATTAGTAATTATAAATGATACGCACATTATACAAATGTTTCATAAATAATAGATAAAGAGCAAGTAATAACATACCAAACACAAAAAACAAATATTTTTTTTCTTTTCAATTTTATTACAAGCCATGTATATGTTTATTTTTTTTTTACAGAAAACATAGAATCAACTACATATCACAGTGTATTTGTTTTAATTATTTTGCAATTTTTTTCTTTCGATGTAACATAGATAATCCGTGAAATGTTACTTTTCAGCACTAAAAAAATCTTGACAATAAATGTTAACTGATCATATTTGCTTATGACTAATATGAGAGACCTAATGGATTTAGAAGCAGTATGTGAAAATTTTATTTGATGTATAAAATTACTCTCGAAAATTAAAATCATATATGAAATGTACTTTGAATGTGTCATAGAAAAGCTCATTGCAAAATATCACTTTAAAATTTTCATAAACTATTCTATGCAACAAATGAAAAGAAAAAATACAATTTGGTTTGAATTTTGAATGAGAAGAAAAGAATTTTTCTTTTAAATTGCATGGTAGAAGTCATAGCAAGCTCTTAGCTGTTATCTTTTTTATACAGTTCCTGCTTTTCTATTCGATTGATTTATTATGTATGTTTTACATAAACAGCATAATCAAAATATAAGATTGATCCAACTTGAGATCTGCTTATTTGATTCTGTAGATAGGTCAAATGACAGGAAGAATATTCTGAAAGTTTTGCTTCTTTTGCCGAGATCTTAAATTTTCGAAAAAGTAATTATTTATCACAGAGGTGTCACAAAAATTGGGTTTATTTAAGGACCTAATATCTCGACAAAACAAAACATTCAGTTTGACTGAAACTGTCAGGATATTCTATAGATCATTAGACTCCTCTATATGGGCAAAATTTTACGTCGAAAGTTTGTGTTTTGTTTCTTCGGCGTATACCTAAAGCTAGGTCAAAAACTCGATAAAACGATGATAACTTGGTTCCAAAGGCCCATGGGAACAAACTTTTTTTAGATTTCTGCTAGTCTAACTAAGACATTCTTTTAGATACCATCTGAACAAACTCAAACGACGGGCATAAGTTTGGCTGGTTCTTTGCTAAGCCAGTAGGCGATAAGTATTTTGTAGTAACTAAATTTTTTTATTGTAGTTATAACTGGATATTCATCATTCTAATCCTAACTCAATGAAAAATATATCCCTTGTTTTCTCCTTTGTTAGTCAAATTCCCAAGTTTCTTTTAACAATAATGATTCCAATTTCAAAAAAGCATTGTGACAAGCTGTAATCTTTTGTTATTATGGTCTTTTTATTCAGATTCAAAAATTGATATATTAGAATTGTATTTATGAGTGTATCGAGATTAGTTCAACAATTCTAATTACCGCAAGGTTGCGTATTTATATTCATTACTTATTATTGATAATCAATGAGTCATCAATATATTTATAGATGAATCAACGTTGAATTATAAGTGTATATCTAGTAATAATAAATGTCGCTCCATGATTCATAAAGCAAATAACTTGTTATCGTATTCTATTTCAACAATTGTTATTATTTGAAGCACAGAGGAAAAACAGAAAATGTCTTTTTATTACATGTTGAATTCGATGCTACTTCAGACTTGATAGCTATAAAGATGCTCGAAAATTTAGCACGTATGGCTGATATCGTACATCGTGATCATCCTGACGTATATACATATGTATTTCGATATGCTAATGAAGCAAAAACAAAACTTATTTTTACTGAACTATATGGTAATGAACAAGTATTTCTTGAACATTCACGTGATACTGAATTTCGTAAACTTTATCAAGAAGCTTTTAATAATACAGCAGGCAAAACTCGAAAAGAATTATGTATTAGAAAAGATATTAATAATCCATTGTTACCAATAACTGCAACTATACTGGATAATTATTTACATGTTACCTATATTTCTGTTCAACAAGGGTTTTTATATCGACACATAACTGATAAAATAGATGGATGTCTTCTTATTGTATGTAGAGGTTGTGATGAACAAGTTTACGAACGATTGAATATGCTTGTTAAGTGTGTCACATGTGTAACATTTGAAGAATCTGATAAGAATAGACAATTAATTGCTGTTACTGTACAAATTCCTAACGAGCAAATATCAATTAAAAATGATAAACCATTGATTGATACCATGGAATTAGTTTGTCCACAAGAAGAAATTATTCAAAAATTCAAAGATATGATTAGTGATCATTTTCAAATTCAATCTTTACAAGTTCAAACAAATTTTAGTGGCTATATTTATCATAAATCTTCGTAATGGAAATAGTTTTAAATAATAGAAACAAAAAGACTATTACATAAATGTTTTCATTTAAAACTTTTTCTTGAATATTAACTAAAATAAAACTATATTTTAAACACTTTCTTCACTTTTCACATCATGAAATCCGCACCAAGTCGGACATTCATTGCTCCCATTATTTTTTCTTTCATCATCGAAATTTGACGACCGACACTGGAAAAAAAGTATATAGAAAATATTATTTATATAATTTAATTTGTTTGTCATAATTTACCCAAAGAATAAGATTCAATCGTCGTCCACTAGTTATAGGTAACGCTCGATGTCGATGATTACCAAGATGAAGACATGCCGTACCAACTTGATGTTCAAGATAAATCTCTTCTTCATCTCTTGGTTGAGTCGTGCTCGTATGAGACGAACAACGTACTCCACCAAAATACAATTGACCATCTGTAAATTCTGTCCCGAGACATATATTTAATGTTACGGCAGCATCATCAACATGAAAATCAAGTTTTCTATCCCTATATGCATATATATATAGAAAGAAAAATAAGATTAGAAATTATGAAAGAACTTTCTTACTTGTCCATAGCATATTCAACAATAAAACCATGATGAGAATCAAGAGGAAGTGTTACATGTGTATAGATAAGTCGAGTTAATGGCTGTACAATAGTTTTAACGATATCAGTTAAACATTTTTTAAATCCAAAATGATCAAGAATAACTCCATATTTATTCATTGAATTAGGACGGTACAATTTTAATCCATTATCAATACACCATTGTTCAAAATATGCTATTTCATTAATTAATGATTGACAAAATACTGTAGGCAGGAAAGAAAAAGTATATACACCTGATAATTGTATCTATTACAAAAGATATACATATTATCATTATCAATATATGAAAGAAGATATACATACTTGTTTGACAATATCAGAATCAATTGAACCACGATTGAGCATAGCTAAGAGATTTTCATTAATCGGCCATTGATTAAAATCATATAGTTCAGGTGATTGAGGTTTAAAATGTTGCTCAATAGTAGACAAATATTTTTCAATGATACGTTCTTCTTCACGTGAATGTTCTCGATGTCGTCGCCAACTAATTAACACATGTTGAACATAAGCATCACGTTGTTCATCTGACCAGTCGGAAGGTAGATGAGATGTAACTTCTTTCAAGAATGATTGTTCTTCTACGTCAACTTCAGTTTTTGACATATTTTGTCTTGAAAATTTCGCTTTGATGCAAGAAAAATGACTAAGGAAGTGCTTTGCTTCACATCTTGCACAAATAAGTGACTGATGAAATTGCATATGTTCTGTCAGCCATACCTTGATAGATGAAAAGAGGTCGCTGAAAGATTGTTATTGTACATCCACTAACAATTATAACTAAAGAAGAAAGAAAAACAATGAATATGATCCGTTGGAAAATATGATTTATGAATATCGTTTCTTTTATTGATTAAAAGATTTTGCACAGCTTTCAAACATTTATTCGATTATCATTTCATCTATATATATGATGAATGATTAATCGCGAATTATTTAGCAGACTGTGCCATATTCATGTTAGTTTTTATTCAATAAAAGAATCATTGATAATTATGACGTTATCTTGTGTTGTAATCTTAATTTTTCCAAGTAGCGAAGAAACTACATAGTATTGATAATGAACGAAACAATACTGTACTTCAGTCTGAGCATGCCATTTTGCTAAGAAAACTAAAGTAAAAATAAAACATATCCCTGTATATTTCACAATTGCTTATCCTTTACATTTTAGAAGGAAATGAAAAATATATGCTCGAGTGGTAGAAATTCAATGTTAGTCTATTAGTGCGTTCTGAGAAACATTCGTGTGTTTGTTAGCATTCACAAATCTTAATTGTAATTTATACCTCAATGTATTGTATTTCAAATTTCAACAACCTACAGGACAATTTTAGAAAACTATGATTTGTACTGTAAGGAGTTTTATACTTTCCTTACAGTATCAATCTATAAATTTTTGATAAATATATTACATAAAGGAGAGAAACACTGGCACGATATGATCAAGCGAATAAGAATAAGTCAAAACTGCAACGTTTTCGAAAGAATATGTTAAATAACAGGAGTGCACGTTCTCTAGATCGAAACAATATGATTCCATTTGCTATTAGTGATATTAGCAGTCTTCGTAAAATAATAAATTTTCAAATTAAGCTGTGAGAAACTCCAATTTCGATTCTTATCTTATCAAAACAAAATCAACCATAATAAAATACATTGAAGTACAATGTTCGGCACAGTTTCTGTTAAGATCAGCAAAATGTAATAAAACGATAATGTTTTCTATTCATTCGTATGTGTCATGATAATTATTTTCAATTATTGCTGGAACGTTATAAATAATAAAACGAACTGATTAGTAAAAGACCGAAAGATGTTAACTCCCCTCATCCTCATGTCAAACGGGCATGGCTTACTTCGAAAGCTAAGCTACTTTGCAAGTTATGTAAAACGATTAATTGAAAGTGTTCCTGTGAGCATTCGAAATCCATCTGAAAGATGCTGTATCATAAGTCTTAAAGCAATCTAAAAATACGGCAAAGGGTGAGTTCTGTGAGCATGGAACTTTACACATAAACCTAAATATGTCCAAGCATTATCATGCAAAAGTTACCCCTCAACTTATGGCTTTTAAGAGAAGTGGGCCAAAAAGAAACTGTTGTAGTGCTCTATGTGAATTATTTTTATTGAAGAAGATATTATCGTTAAATACTTTATTCTTCGAATTCTATTTGAAATGGGTTAACATCATCAAGTTCTTTTAAATCATTCCATATTTGAACGACTGATTTTTGAATAGCTGTTGTTACTTTTAGCCATTCATTATCGAAAATAGGCACTAAATTATCGTCTATTCCATTTAAGGCAGAATCTGATGAATTAAAAATCCTATTATAATGTTCTGGATAATTGGTGCTTAACCATTTCTGAACATGTAATCTTTCGTCAAGGCCAAGAATTATGTTTCCACCATGAAACCGACGACGACTTGAAGATTGATTATTTGATTTGTATTCATGATGATAAAAGAAAGCATTAAGTCTGAATGGATAACGAGTAACAATGGCTCGCACACGTTCATTTAAAATATATTCTCTAACGTCGCTTATGAACCACCAATGTAAACCGTTAGCATCAGTAACACGAGGATCAAAACTGTAACGTGGCTGTTGTCCCTTGGTTGGTATAATAAAACATAGCATACCATCATTATCGAATGATAAAAGTTTATACCAACTATGAAGAGTAGAAAAGCGAAGAATATCAGCATTCAGTTCTTTTCGACTAAATTCTGTTCGCTTTTTTACCAGTTCATGAAGACGATAGTCATAATTAAAAAATGAATTGTATCGATCAAATGATGAAAGATAATCAAATATACAAAGTATTAATTCTGGCGACAAATCATCGAAACGAGTTATTGTAACCATAAATAATATCAATTCGTTTTATATATAGAAAAAATATAATATGAATACAGTAAATACATATATGAGAGAGCGTTTTATTGATTGATGAATAGTGTAGCATATCCTTACGCTTCTATATCAAAGATGAAGTTTACTCTATGACACAAAAAAAAAGAAATCCTTAACTACATATTTTAATATGAATGAAATGCATATGTGAATATGAAAACCTAAGCCATGAAAAATGCACATATTCAATTAAGAGATAGCATGAATATGATTTAAATTGTATAGAAAAAGAAAAAAATGAAAGTCTGAATAAATTTTTAAAGCAAGAGAAAAAAACATGAGAAATTTACGATCATAATAGTTCGATCAATTAAAAGTTGAAGTCTTAATCATACAAAGAAAAATGTATAGTTGTATCATATATTTATCGTGCATTTGGTTGTTCTTGTTTTGTTAATAATTTTTCCTTTTTTTACCCTTGATATAAAAATAATCAGAATGAGTTAAGATAAATGTGTCTGCATGAATTTGTCTGTCAATTAGTAATTCAATAGATTTGAAATGTTATCCTTCGCTACATCATATCAATAATGATATTTCTTCAAAATATTAGCCTACTCACAATTAAAAAATGAATTTATTTAGATGTTAAATGTGATTGGTACTTCCATCTTCTATAGGCATTATACAATCTATACGCTACAGCATTATTCGACATTCAACTATATGAAAGATAGAATCCCTACATGGCATTAATTACCATTAGTAAGAAAACTTTAGTTATTCATTTGTTTTTATTTATCAGTATGATTGACAATTTCTGATTACACTAAACAAAAGTCTTGGTTTATACTTCTAAGAGGATTGTCGATGTAAAAGTACATTCAATACAAGTAAATCTTAATTAAATATTACATTTAGTCATTTTTATCTAACCGTTTATACCTCATATAATGATTTGTGAAGGGTCACTTATTTATGAAACAACCATTGAAAGCGAGTATTGGCCTCTTCAGTATATCAATAGTACACCACATCGACCAGGTACGCTTCGCTGATCTCGTTAAAGCTAGCCGGACAGCCAATGACATTCATGGAGCCCTTTCACCAATCGTGAAACAGTCATGAAATACCTCAATCAATCCACAGAATAGCCGACCGCTATACTTAGCAACCAACGATACACTTGAAAACGTCAAACCGAATTCAAAATCCAAAATTGAATGGCAGACCCTAAAAGCATCTTTAAATGTCAACAGTCGATACAGCTAGTTAGCTATTGAGAGAAATGATATTAATACTTCAACAGAAGCCCTGAAAAGCCGGCCGAAATTCATAAATGTATTGGTATTACTAATATTAAGATCGTCACTAAAAAACTTTGTGCTACACCGCTAAATGGCGTCAATCGATGCAGCTCATTCAGATGTTGGGGGAAATTATATTCGAACCTTTAAAGAACCCGTCTGAGACTCGCAGAAATTCTTATATGTTGTAGCATTGGTGATACCAACTTCATTACAGAAAATTCAATTCAATTCAAGTGATGAGTTGCATTGAATTGAGTCTAATTTGTGTTTGTAATTTTTCCTGATAAGAAGAAACCAACATATTAAGCGAGAATATTACCATTCAGTTATTAAAATTATAATTATTGCACGTATTCTATTGCTTTCATATTTTTGTTACTAACACAGTCATTTCCAAAATCTTTTTTTCTTGTGTTCTTTTTTAGTGATGGTTTATGAATTTTACGATATCTGTTGGTGAACACATGGTCCAATGGAATTGCTACTTTCTTCTGGCTAGATGATCCGGTTCGGTTAGCTTCACAGGAGTGCTTCACTGTGTGCAGAACAATTTGACAGTTTCAATTGTCATTTAGGTATAATGACATGAAAAATTTTATTTTTTATCTTTTGTGGGTAACTTATTGATTTCGCTAAAAATCAATCTGTTTTCTTAACTCAACAATACATAAAGAGATTTTTTCAAAAACATGTGTTTGTGAAACAATTTTCTGTGCACATAATATCTGTTTTTCTCAAAGTAAGGATATCGGTGTCGTTGAAATCTCGTCATGTCCAACATCGACACCCGCATCAAACATTTACATAACAACAAAATATGTCAATTTTTTTTCTTTTTATGTTACTACCTCATAATAGCAATTCTGCCTGTCATTATATATCGTACAATCTCTTGTTCAACTAATTCATGTGCAAATTCTCAAACATGATCTATTCAATAGTAGCAACTGTCGTCGATATTTATCATACAGCACATCATCAATATATGTATTTCTCGTGGATAAAAAAAAATTACGCAAAAAAATGTCCTTCTCTTTAAGAACCTCATAATCGTCTCTTTTATAAGTCGTATATCTTGGAGACAGAACAATTGTAAAAAATATTTTTTGCTAATTGGTAGCTTAAGGAGTTCTTTACACGCAATGTGTTAAGAGATTTTTAAGATCAAGCCTTCTACATTTTCTGCAATGCTTCTAAAAATAGTAATTCCAGCTGCCAAATGAAGGTAACTAGTCAAACTGTGGAATATCGTTTTAAGAAATTAGAATAAAAACTTAAGGTTTTAAATGGTCTAAAATCAACGGTTGAATCAAATTCTTATCTAATGTTTATGATTTTTCCATTTTAATCATTTTTCGAAAAGATTATTTTCATCAGGTTTAAACATATTCGAAGCAGATTTATATGCAAATAGAACAAAAAATTGTTTTTAATATCTCATCATATAAAACGAGAAAAAAAACACAAATAAATATTATAGAACATTTATTTTAACCATCTATTTTTAATAAATCTAAAAGTAATGCTTTCAAATAACGTGCTTCATAGGCAACTGTATTTTTTCCACCATGCATTGGTTTGTTTGTTAATGGAGAAACAAAATTTGCTTTAACATCGCGACCCCAATCTACAAATAAAAAGTGTTTTAATAGAACAAATTGGAAAAAAATTTATACGAAAGTTTTTACTTTCACAATGACTTAAGAAATGTAACATTTCCATAAGAACTTGATCGCGAATAATAACTGAATGACGTGCCATATTTTCAAAAAGCGATAGAAAACAACGTTTGGTATAAAACCATGTATCTGTTCCTAATTTCTTTTGATAAGGTTCAAGTGATTTCATAACACGTGATATACCGAACTCATAATTATTTTTCGCACAATAAAGTGTTCTAAGAAAAAAAAAACAACTATTTGAATTTTATCTGAAAGTATTTATTGTAGTTATTACCCAATGACGAGATTAACAATGCATAAGTGAAAAACTTTTTTTTCAGGTGTTTCAAATGGTAATTTATCTTCTTCACGTTCGATTTTACGCATTAATTCTTCAGCCTTAAAATAAATAGATAATATTTATTTAATAGAAATTTTTTTCTCTAAATACTTACTTCTTCATTTTGACTTGTCATTATATGACTAACACATAAATTAGCCAAAACTATTGGGCTGACTGATAAAAGCTAAAAGTAAAAATTCATTGTTTCTTTTTTCTTAATTCATCATACGATTTCTTTTTGATAAGTATTTTAAACAATCATTTTATATCGTTGACATTTGCTTAAAAGGTACTATCAAAAAGATGTTACTTCTCGTCAACTATATTTTAATATTTTCTTCTAATTAGCATTAAAAATGAAACTCAATAAAGCGTTTACATTTTTAAACAGAAGAATCTTATATTTTAAAAAATATTAAAATTAATAATTTTTCGAAAACTATTATTAAATCATTCGTTAAATTATCCTAGTGAATGTATTGAACTCAGGGTACTGGCATACTGGATCAGTTGTCAGCAGGGTATCTTTTCAAGGACTCTGTTACCAGTCTGTCACAGAATCCTGATTGGATACCCTGCTGAGCATAGTCCCAGTAGATGGGTATTTATACAAAGTATCTGTTCAATTTCTATAATATTCTATGAAAAATTTTTCAACAAGTTAATAAATTGAACATTTCGAAGTACTTTGTTGTCAAGTGCTAAAAACCCATTAAATACGCACAAGTTTCTGTGATATATTGGCAGTAGACTATTTCAAGCTCAGTATATACACTAGAGAATAGAATGATTTCGTTGAATCTTGAAAAATAATATTATTACTGTCATAGTAATCTCTTCATCAAATTAATGTGCAAATCACATTTACGTTTTCTTGTACCGAATCAACTTAATTTGATTCGATTTGCAAGTCTCCAAATAACTAACCAAGGGTCAACGTAAACTTTTCTCTTACTTCGGACAAAATGTGTTCATTGAATTAATTTTTTTTTTAAATTCAAATAAAAACTAATAAGATCTAGTCAAATAAAATAAATTATCTCTTACATTATCTTCATGCTTCTTGACAATAGGTTCGTAGAATCCAACTAAAACAAAAAAAAACCATATATTACATTTCTGTATTGTAACCTCAACAATAAATCTAATAAAAACCTACTTGCTTCTCTATATTTATTATCTTGCATAAAAAGAACATGAGCAACCTAAAGAAAAGAAAAGTAAAAAATTAATACATTATAAATAAGACTTGAAATTTTGTTAACATTTAGTTTCCATATTTCATTATCATTACAAAATTCGACCGATTTTCGAAAGATTTTTTCTACGGCTGCATAATTTTCTTGTAACCAATAAATATTAGCTTGAGCCATTAATACAGGTACATATCTTAATTTAAATAAATAATAAAAATTATGAAAATAATATTATTAAAAAGTGAATACTTTTCTAAAGTAGCATCATATTCTTGTACTTTCTTTTTTACTTGTTCATCTTTTTGTGATCGTCGATTTTCTTGTACTTCTTTAACAAGTCGACGTAATTGTTCAATTAATGTTCCAGCTAATTCTTCAAACTTTTTAAATGCAGCTTCGGGTGCTGTTTGTTGCACTATTTTAGCTTCTATAAATTCATATATATATGGTTCCATATATTTAAATGTCAGATCTGTATTTTCCGCAAGAAGATCAGCAGCAA